TATATTAAAAATAAAAAAAGTATTTCTATTAAATTTTTAGAAATTTAATTTAATAGCGAGAAGATAAAGATTAAACTCTCTTTTAATAAATTAAAAAGAGTAAGAAAGTTAATAAAAGCTCTTCTAAATAGATGAAGTATTTTTTATAATAAGCTTAAATTAACGATAAGTCTATTATTCTTCTTCGTTAAAATAATAATCTCTAATAAGGCCTTTTTAAAAAGACTTTACTTCGTATTATTTAAAAAATAAGAATATTATTATATTATTATTATAATTATAGCGAATCTATATTAATAAAATATCTTTTTATCTAAATAAAATAAAATATAATTACTTCGTTATATAATTATATATTATTACTATTTTATATAAATAAACGCTTTTAATAAGTATAGAATAAGAGAATATATTCTTAAGAATATCGCTATTTATCTTAAATTAGATAATATATTTAATATATATTTCGCTATTCGCTATTATAAAAAGAATATTTAATTTAAAGAGATATTTATTATTCTTATAATTATTTATAGATAGCTATTTTACTTATATTAATTATATCTTATACTCTATTATAATAATAGCGTTATCGTTGAAGATATTAATAGTAATTTTATATATAGATTAATTATAATATTACTTAGATAAATAATTATATTATTCGCTTAATATAATATTATTTATAATATAATTTAAATCTCTATTAAGTAAAATACTTTAGTCGACTTATTTTCTTATTTTAAATTTAATAAAATTATTAATTTATATTTATAGCTAAGCGCTTTTAATCTATATAAAAATTATTAAATTATAATTTATTTAAATTATAATATAAGAAGATTTCTCTAAATTATAATATTATAAAATATCTCTAATAAAGTCTAATTAATAAAATAAGAAGTAACTATTAAATAGCGAAGGTCTTTTATATTAAGTTTTATACTTTATTAAAAGCTATCGTACTTTCCGCTATTATTTAATTATTAATTAACTAAATAATATATTTAATTAATTATTATATTTAGATTAAATTTATTAAGATTTATCTTATAGATATTCGATTAGTCTATATAAATATAGAATTCGAGAATCTCGAGATCTTTTATTATTTATTATTATAGCGACTAGTAAGTAATTATCGATATTTATAAACTATATAATAAGATCTATATTAAAAAATATCGTTTAATTACGCGAGATTTACTATTTTATATTCTTATTTAATTTAATAAGATTTCTCTAAAAAAAGCTATCTTATATACTTTCTTTTATCTTATATTTACTATATTTCTTTATATAAATAAATTTATATAGTTTTAAATTAAATTCGAAGATAATAACTTCGAATAATAATATATTATAAGATATTTAATTACGCTATATAGCTATTATATAAAGCTATTACTATTATTCTTAAAGATAGATCTATTTAGAAAAGAGATTACGCTATTTATTATCGCTATAAATAATAATATCTACTTTATTTATTCGCTATAAAACTTATTTACTCGCTTTTCTATTAATAAATTATCGCTATTATTTAATTTAAATAAAGTCTTTATAAGATAATACGTTATCGCTATATTATATAATACTCTATATATATTTAATTATTTAAATTATTACTTAAAATACTCTTTTTATAAAAAGATTACTATCTTTATAAGAGATATTAATTTAATTAATAATAAGATTTAATTATTTAGTTATTAGAAGTCTAACTTATATCGCTTATATATCGAGATATATTTAATCTATATTCTTATTATATTATATTATTTTTAGCGTTTTTATATAATTTAGAGCTAATAGATTTTTATTAAATATAAATTATTTATTTTAGAAGTTTTTTTAAAATTAAGCTATATAGTAGATTATTATCTATATATTATTAAATCTTAAAATCTAATTAATTATTATTTAGAACTTATTTATATATATAGTTTTTATAGAATATTTAATAAGATAATATTAATTATTATAGCTTAATTAAGAGTTAATAAGAAAGAGATATAATATATATTTATAATAGAATAGCTAAGATTACTATATTAGAAAAGCCTTAAATAAATAATATTCTCATCTATTTTTTACTCTTTATTCTTATTCCTTTCGTTATAAAAAGAGATTTTTATACTTTTCCTACTTATATCTTATTTTTTTAGCATTTCTTTATATTTAGATTTTAAATCTTTTATCTTATATAGAGAGAGTTTTTTTAAGACTAAGCTATATAGTGAATTATTATCTATATATTACTAGGCCTTAAAACCCAGCCAATCATTATGTAGAACTCATTTATACGTGTAGTTTTCGTGGGACGTTTAGCGAGATAGCACTTGTTTGAGCCAATTGACGCCGCGGCTCTCCCATGTCAGATCTGCATTTGCTCCAATGCCATGGACGGCGATGACACTACGAAAGGTCAGGAGGTATACCAGACTTGAAGCAACAAAAGTCGTCACTCACTCTACCTCAGCTTCATTGTCTTTTGGCTCGTAAAGAACGGCAAGCCTAGGTTCTGGATGCGGCACTACCTTCGGGGAAGAACGGGGGGACGTTGCCATGTCGGCTTCGATTTTACCAGCATCAGTTGACCACGATATCGTGATTAGGCACCAGCTCTGCCAAGTGATCTTCACAGAGAGCCTTGCACCGCCACAGCGACGAGAACATGGTACTTGTTCAAGCTAAACAACATTTTTGCATTTTCCAGAACATCGGTCTGTCGCATTGTCTAGGGATTCGATTTGTTGTTGCGGTTGTTTTCCAGGATTGCGAACGTCCATGGAAGTGGAAACTTTTCTCCTCTGTAACAAAACATACTAGCGTTGTATGATAAAAGCGCCCAGCTCCCATGCTCATGCAAGATAGAGTGGCAGCCTTTATCGCGAGAGTTCGGGTCCTAGGCTGCAGGATCGTGCCTAATCTAAATATGGCTTGCAAAAATGACTCATGAAATCCTAAGAAGCTTCTTCTCTCGATGAGGTACGTCAGTCACTGGCCAGATGTCTCCTCCCTTTGCCGAAGAACACCAACTTGACGACATGCATCCACCGTATCCTCAATATGATGACAGGTTACCGAGTCAACCTCTCATCAGTATAACATCCGAGCCTGGGCAGCTTTTCGACTTCCTCGACAAAGACCTTCTTACCCTCGACTTAGATAGAATGGCTCCGAAGCTGTGGCTGATGGCCACTCAGTCAGGCTCCCATATCTCCCCGTTGCACCACCAGAGGATCAAAGGCCGAAAAATTGTGATCACAGAAGATCCACGATTGCATCTCGTCTGGATTGAAGATCGAATCTTCGTCAAGCCTTTGCCACTGTATCTACAATCTTACACCTTCTGGGCAAAATATTTGTACCACTCGACGACGGAGCCAAACGAAAAAGCTCCAGACACAATGTTCCCCGACTGGAGTATTCGAAAAGAGCCGATTTCTAGAGCCGCGCTTGGACTTCTGCGCTCTTATGCATTCCTCATCAGGCATTCCTCGGACCTTGACATAGCCATCCACCACCGTCTTCTGCCTCCGGACAAGACTTTCTTATCAATCTGCTTGTTCACATCCCAACTTCTCAGTATACCAGACTCGGAGGTATCACCGCGTTACGGCTATGGTGAGCTACGCCTTACGCGTCTAAACTTTTGGTCCAAAATATTCCTTAACAGGTGGAATTATGAGACGGTCCATCGTCAATATTCTCAATACTTCCAGCGATTTTATGCTCCATTGCTTTTCGCTTTCGGCTTCTTCTCGGTCGTTCTGAGTGCGCTCCAAGTAGAGATGGCCGTTGAAAGCGTTTGGACGTCGCACCAATGGCAAGCCTTCTGGCTGTTTTCGAGAGTATTTAGCATTGTCAGTCTGGCGGTGGTTGCTACCCCTGCTCTAGGCTTGTTGCTGCTGTTTCTGGGGAAGAATATGATGGAACTGGAATACGCTCTCACCCATCGTCAGAGATGATTTTGCAAATGAGAATCAGCCTTCTCACTTTGCTGTGTTGATTGCAAAAGGCATCGAAGGGGCCCAGCAGCCGCAGACCAGGAGAGAGGCCAAGGGAAGAGGCCAGAGAAGGAGGCCAGGGATGGGGATACCGCAATAGCCTTGGGCACGTCCTTGCAGGATGGGGTATCGCTGCTTCCATACTGTCGACATTGGTTCGGTATGAAAGGAAATTGCCGGGTGAACATCGGCAATTCCAGCGCACAGAGCAGTGTTATTGCCAGGTTCGATCATTCACCGCCGCATTTAGATAGCGCCCCTGGCGCTTTGGATGTCGCTCTAAGTTATTCTTATAGATTTCTTACTTGCTTGCTTTTTTCTTTTTGGATATGTATGCGAGTAGATCCCAGGTAAACACCTACGTAGCTGTTGCGTCACACTGATGGGGTATACATCTCCATGGCTGATACATCACGCCCATAAATGTGACGACTATCCATGAAGAGTACATAAACTTATAATACTATCACGCCCATCCCATGAACAAATACTTATTAATCGCTTATACTTTCCTATAGATATATATTAATATTTATAGATAGTTATCGTTCTTAATAATTGCGTTCGATGCCACGGAAAATGCGCGAGGAGTTTACAACATTAGAGCTGGGTGGTAGCGGTGGCTGCAGTTGGGGCGGAAATGGGATGGGGATACTGTAGTGGCATGATACTTGGAGGGCTGAGCGACCGTTCTGAACCAGATTTGGAGCACACTTGTTTCTTTTCAAAAGCGATCGTTCCTGGATTCAAGTAAATCCTTGTGGGAGTTCTGCGGCTGTGTCTGGGAGGAGAACGAATATCACGAGTCGATCGTGGGCGACGTTTTAAAAGACGGCGCTAATAGAGGCGAAGTGCATGTAATGGCCGCCTCCGCCTTGCGAATACACGAGGCTGACGAAGGTCAAGCGCACCTCTTTCTCTCCATCTGATAATTTTCCATCCTGGTTCTTGATCTCTCTCAGGCCTATTTGCCAACCGTGACATCGAATGGATCCCCTATCGCTCATTGCAAGTATCATTGCCATCGTCGGCGCTGGTGGATCGGTTGGCAAAGGTCTCAAAAAGCTCGCTTCAATTCGTCATGCTGAACGGGATCTCGTCCTGCTACAGGACGATGTTTCAGATCTCCAACTTTTGGTCGGAAACGTCTCAGAAATCATTTTGGAATTTGAGAAGACGACCAAGAGACCATCATACCAGAGAATTGGTAGAGCATTGGAAAGGACTAAGAGCACTATATTAGATCTTGAGAAACTCATTGTCTACAATCTCACCACAATCGCCGACAGCCACGGCAAACTGCGGATTGATCCATGGGCTTGGATCACACATGAAGCAGCGGTACGCAATCTAAGAACGCAAATAGGGGACCGGGAGCGAGAATTGTTAACAGCGCTTAGTTTCCTAAATTTGTAAGAGCCAGATAATCCAAGTTCCCCACCGCAAAGTAGGCACTGACACTATAGATCCACACAAATGGCCCAATTGCAACAGCAGCGATCTTTCGACCGAAAACTCGAAAACGGTTGGTTTAATGATAGAGACTTGCTCGCTGAAGTTCAATCAGTAAGAGGACTTACTACTCAAAGCCTAGAACGGCAATCGCAGCACGAGACTACGTTTCGGAGAATCGAACAATCCGTCAAATCGACAATAACACTATCGGACCATGATGTATTCCCAGATATTCCTCATCTAGCTACCGATTTGCCCCAGCAAGCATTAGACGATCCGCGACAAAACATGGAACAAGACGTGCTCCAAGCCATGCTCCATTCCAATATAACGGAATACGAAACGGAACCGCGCATCAGCCGGTCAAATCGACTGGACAGACTTGTGGCAAGTAGCTCGCGTCCTGTCGTTGATAATGCATCCGCACAGAACCTTCCTAGCTCCTCGACCAGGGTGCTCAGCATGGTGAAAGAAATGAGTATTTCACGTCCGTTATCAATGACTGAAATCTGCAACGAGCAATGCGATTGCATATGTCATAGAGGCAGCACCACCAAGTCCCCCAACTTCGCGGTCGTAAACCTTGGCCCTCTCTTCATTGTGTTCAAAGGGTCTTCACCTGTGAGTACCTGCGTCTCTCGGAGCTACAAGTATATTACCTTGAAATTTGGCTTTATATGTCCGCAGTGGCTTGCGAACTGGGTGTGGGAATCCACATCGATCTTCTCCAAGAATTTAAGAAGTGTGAGTCTGAGCGCGAGCAGCTCTAGGTTTGCTTCTGAGAATAATCCGATTTTTTGGGCAGCAAGAACGGAAGCTCTAGATCATGTGAGGAGGATAGTGTAATAGAAGAAAGTGCAACGAAAAGAATTGATAAATGACATCAGCTATCCGAAGGGCAAGACAATTGTTCACGTGAGTTCGTTCCGTAAAACACCCTATTATTTAGTAGTTAACTGAAACCTCAGATTGCAGTAGAATCTCTAAATCTAAATATACTTAGAAAGCTAATGTATAACGAAGCTAATCGATTTACTACGAGCTTATTTAAAACGTAAGTAATTATTTCTCTAAATTATACTATATAAAAACTTAACGAAGAGTAAGCTCGTTTTATATTAAGGTTTAAATTATCATCTGCAAATCTAAAAAGTAAATTTCCGCACGATTTCCGTCGGGTCCGTACTATAAGCACGATTTAGTCTATTAAGTAGACTTTATCTATATTTAATTCTTTTTATTAGTTCTATTAATTTAGTAACTTTAAAAATTTTTAGTAACTTTAAAATTTTTACGTAATGTACTTTAATATACTCTAAGTATTATTCTATATATATATAATATTAATATATATTATTATTAATATACGTATTATTATACGCTATATTAGAGTATTATCTACGCGATTAATTTTATTAAATTATCTAATTCCGTAGCTAAATTTAAGTTAGCGTTAATACTTATCGTTATAGAATCTTATTATCGTAATATCGATTATTAGAACTTTTCTTTTTTTATATATATTATTATTAAACTAGTAGAACTAGTAAAAAAGATTAAAATAGTTATTAAATCGGCGGAATTTAGGCGAATTCTAATTAGATTTATTAATTCGACGGATTTTGTAATTTCCGCGACATACGCGCGATTAGTAATTTCAAATTTTATAGAAACTTTTTAGATTTGCAGATGATAATACTCGAAGAATTATCTATTATTTCGAATACTATATTAAGCGAACTACGATATTTTATTAATAAAATATTCTCTTTAAATAATTTTATCGAGTTTAAATTTATAATACTATATAGAGAATATATAGATCTATCTAGTCGATCTTTTAAAGAGATAATTCTAAAAATATTAAGATCTATAGTCGATCTAGAAGATATAATAGAGAGAATCTTACTTTTATAAGTAGTATAAAAAAGAGATTTAAAACTCGTTCGTCGACTATTAAGCTTTAAATTATATTCTAATAAGCTCGATTACTCTAAAAAGAGCTCTCTATATTAATCTTTATCTATCGATAACGATAAGTATCTATTAATTTTACTTAACGCTAAAGTAAATATCGTTATAAAAGATAAGCTTAATAGAACGCTAGTTTATCTAACTATTTAAATAAATATTAATTTAAAATTTATAAAAACGTTATTTATCTTTAAGGTTAACTCGAATAATAAAGATAATTATAATATAATATCTTTACTTTAAATAGTATATTACGATCGATTAGAAATTTATTTATACTTATTATATAATAGAGTCTTTATTAATAATATCGATTCGAATAAACGTACGATTCTTTATATTACTATCTCTCTTAAGAGACCGAAAAGATATAGTATTTATTATAAAATTCAAGTAATTTTCGAGATATCATCTTAAAAGATATAGGACATTTCTAATTTTACTCGATATTTTATATATAAATTATCGTATTTTAAAATTGTCTCGTATAAAATAGACTAGCCTCGTAAAAGAACTTTAAGAATTATAAGATTTCATAAATAGATTATAGAGATATAAATTTTCAAAGAAAAGAAGTAAAAGTTAAAAAATTCTAAGTTCAAAAAATTTCATATCTTTTCGACTAGAAATTATATATAAGTAAAAAGTCTTAATACTCTTATTTCTTATATTTATTTACTTTATCTAAGTTAAGATTCTTATCTTATTTACGTAATCTTATCTCTATATAAAGCGACTATAAAGTTTTTATAGCTACGCGAGTTATATATTAAACTACGACTTTTTATCTTATTACGATTAGACTTATAATAAAAACTAATAAGTTCGTTACTTAGAGTAAATTAAATTTCTTCTTAAAATAATATATAAGAGATATTTACTTTAAATTATACTTACTTTTCTTTCGCCTCTTATAAATAATTTAAAGTACTTTATACGCGAGTATCGATATTAAAGAAGCGAGAATTTAAAGACGAGTATTATCTAGAATAAGAAATATATTCGAAGAAATATATTTCGTTTTCGTAGTCGATAAGAAGAGAAAATAAGAATTTAAAGAAAGGCTATTTAATATACTTTATTATAATATTCTAATATCGAAAGAGATATTTATTCTTATCGATTAGACGAAAATAATTTTTATTTCGCTAACTTCTTAACTTCTTATATTAATTCTTCTCTTATAACTCTTTAATTACTATTTAGATCGAATTAATCTCTTTATAAATTATTATATATTCGTTAAAATATCTACTATTTATATATATATATATTAATTTTAATCTCTTCGACTTAAAAGAAAAGTTCTTATTTATTACGTTACTTTTACTATAAATAATTATCTTCTCGAAGCTCGTATCGTCTTTTATTAATAATAACTTATTAAGTTATTCTTTTATCGCTCTACGCGTTCTAGTATAAATTTCTTTATTATATATCGATATTATAAATTAATTAATTCTAGTAAAGATAATTAGTTATTAAGAATTATAAAATATAATTAACGTAATACTAAATTAACATAAACTTAATTTCTTAAAATAGCAATATCTTTATAACGACGATTTCGTTTTTATATTTTATATTTATTATTTACTTAATAATACTCGATTTTATATTCTCTAATTATTTCTTATAGATCTACGATTCGTCGTTAACTAAAAAGATAAATATTTAAAAATCTCTCTTTTAGATAAGCGTTTATATATTATAAAAATATCTTTCTCTATACTCTTAATTCTTCGACTTCTTTATCTTTAAATTTATCTAGATTTATATTAATAATATCGCGCTTAAAATCTAAATTTCTTTTTATCGAGCGTATTATAACGATAAATATAGATTTTATTATTATTCTTAATTTAAAGCTAAAGCTAATAGACGATATATATAAATTTCTTAATTACGTTAAATTACTAGCCGAAAAGATATAATATATTTTATAAGATATTTCATATTAAGTAATATTATATCGTACTCGAATATAATATAAATAGAATCGAATATTATTTTATTTTTCTAGTATAAATTTGAAATCTTAATGAAATATTTTATAATATAATATATCTATAATATTATATTATAATATAATATATATATAAGATATCTCGATTAAGATTTCTATATTTATAGAATAATCTAACTAAGATATATAGAATATATTTATTCTTCTTTATTAAGAGAGAGGGAATATAAAGAGTAATTTAATATAGCTATTTATCTTTTTATTAATAGTAATAATTAGAATAATAATTAGAATTATAAGCGTTTCTATTCTTCTTTTCAAAATTATAATATAAAAGAATATTTTAAATTTTAAATCTTTAAATATTATAAAAATATAATTCTATAATTATCTTTATTTATATATTTATCTTAACGCGTTAAATAAACTTAATAGACTTTATATTTATTCTTCTTTTAAACTCTACTTTACTCTTTTATTCTACTTTATCTTAATTCTTTTAAATACTCTAAATCTATCTCTATTTAATTAAACTTATTAATTATTTATAGATAAATTCGCTTTTTAAATTACTCTAGATCTCTTTATCGAGATTAAATTTATTATTATTAATTCTCTCTAATTATAAACTTATTAATTATTTCTTTATATATTATAGAGTATTAATAATATATCTTAATAAATTTATAAATATTAGACTTATTAAGATACTTTCTATAAACTTATTATCTTTATTAATATAATTATTATAATTATTAACTAAGTTTTTATATAAAGTATTATTAACTCTTTTAATCTAATCTAATATATTAAAATCTTTTTTAAAATTAAATCTAATTTATTTAAATTTATTTTCTTAATATTTTATATAAAGAATTATTATTAAAGTATAAAATATCGCTAATAAATAATATTTTTAAATATTATAATATCTTTTAATTATTAAGAAGTATTACTTATATATAATAACTTTTATAAGAGAATAAAGAATATTATAAGCTATTTAAGCGATTATAATATATTTAAATTTTAATTTCTTTTATTATTCTAAAATTAGAAAATTTATTAAATTATTAAAAGAAGCTTTATAAAGATTAGAAGTAAGATTATAATTAGAATAATAATTAAAAGATTTATTATTTTTTCTATATTATTAAAGCTAATTATATTTATTCTTATTATCTAAATTTTTAATCTTAAATTTTATCGCTTAATTAAATATATTTTTATTTAATTAATTTATTCGCTTAGCTCTTTATAATTAACTACTTATATTAA